TCCAGATGATCCCGCTGAAAGGCCGGGATGGTTGGGATTGCAGCAGTGGGGGCTGGGGAGATGGAAGGAGGGTGCAGGAAAGCCAGAGGGCAGGTCTGACTGGAGGGCAGTGTGCTGAGCCCTGGCTGGCTGGCAGGAGTGCTGCTCCGTAGCTTCCTGTGGGATCTGGGTCTTTTTGGGGCGGGGGGTTCTGTGCAGAGGCTGAGCTGTGGGTCTGATGGGCCCCACGGCCCTGCCAGGGAAAGGGGCATTTCTCTCACTGCTACATTTGGAGGAAATCTCAACAATTTGAGATTGTTGTTAAATTTTTTTTGGAGGCTTTGTGATGAAAATGATTCCCCCCAAAGTAAGCACATTGCCCTTTCCACCCAGCTCTGTTGTTTCCTTCATCCATCATCCTTGCTCGGGAGCTCGTTTCACAGGAGTGCCCTGACAGCTTGCTTGGGTGTGAAAATTGAAATTTCGGTTCTTGTCCTTTTCTACAGAAGTCACCTGGACTTTGTCCATCGGTGAGCTGGCCCAGACTGTCTCATCAGGCCTCGATTTTCAAGGCAATAAAAATTCCAGCTTTATTTCTGGGCCTGCTCTGCAGCATCCACCTCAGTCACACTGTGATAGAAAACATTCAGGATTGCAATTTGTTTACAGGGCCCTCAAGGGAGTGGGAACAAACTGAAAAGGTTTCCAAATCTGGTATTTAACATCTGTGGTCATTTCAATAGTTCTTTAAGTCCCAGTTGGAGCACTGGGACCCGCTGAACAGCCCTGTCTTTGCAGCTGAGCCTGGAGGAGGTGAGAGGGAGAGGAAAAGCCTCGTGCAGCTGGTCTGGAAGGGTTGGGTCCTCCAAGGAGCATTTGGAGCACAGTCTTTGGGATGGTCCTGGAGTTGTGTTTGTTTGAGTAGGTGCCAGAGGCTGCTCTGTCCAAACTGCCTCTAAACTCAATGCACCCACGGTGTGCCCTGAAAATCCTCTTGGAAAGAAACAACTGCACCCACCAACCCGTGGCTCAGCCCTCAGAGTCTCAGACAGTTCTGTTTGCGTTATTTTCATTTGCCTGGGTAATCGAATTTGTTGGAATTAGGGGGTTGTGCAGATAATAACATTTTCTCCCCCTCTGGCAGGGGAGCAGGCTGTGGTGAATGCCGATGTGCTGCATTGATTGGAATAAACTGGCCCTCGATAGCATCAATTACCCACTCCTGATGGATGGCTGTGTGCTGCCTGCCAGCTCTGCACTGCACACCAGCAGCCACCACTTCTCTCTGCTAGAAACGCTCTGAAGAAAATGTAACTCCACTGGTGGTGGGGGTCTGTGCCCGTGGAGGGGACCCCACGGCAGTGCTGGGGACCAGGACACCCTGTTAGAGCCCAGGGTCCCTGGGCACCAGCAGCCTGGCCAACCACCCATCAGTGGGGGGTTGGGTTGCAGATCATCAGAATTCCTGCTAAAAGACAAGCTGTCCCGATTGTATCCCTTATTGTAGCTGTGTGATCTGCAGGATGGACTGGGATCAGCGTTGTAGGAACAACCTCCTGTGTAACCCCAGCGGCTCCGGCCTCTGATGCTCTGGGAACTAAAGGAGGGGGGGGGGGGTGTCCCCACGCTCTGCCCCGTCTGAGCAGACAAAAGTGGCAAAGCCATTAGCTCGGAGCACATTCCTTAATGTGGCATAAGCAGCTAAAGAAGATGTATTTATGCTCCTTCATTTGCAATTGATAATCTCAAGAGTGAGAACTGGTAATAAATTCCCTCTCTGGGGCTCCTTCCCTCCAACCCCGCCGCAGAGGGGAAGAGCAGCTCATTTGCATGAGATAATGAAACTGCAGTGAAATAGTAAAATTGCAGAGCAACTTTGTTTTAATAATGACAGATGCTTCTTTAACACTTTAATTATGTCTCTCCGAGCTGTTTTAGCAAGGCCACAGAAAGGGAGAGCAGTATTTCTGAAATACTTGTAATAAAACTCCTTCCCTTTCTACAGTGTCTCCAGCCCCAAACTGTTCTCTTTTGCTCAAATGAAAGCATTTGGCTTTTTCCTGGCTCAGGGAATGCCTGTTTTGGGTCCTGAGAGAGGACAGGTGAGTGTTCTCAGGGAGTCACCCCCCCAGAGGTGGGGGGGGGGGGGGCTGCAGGCTCTGGGGTCCTGGGAACTGCCATTCCATGTACTGTCCTATGGGAATTGTAAAAATGGTGCTGATCTCTGGGGTTAAAAACACCCACAGTGACACAGTGTCAGCACCAGCCTAGATTTCCCCGAGCAAAACCTGCTGTGGAGGTGCTGCAGACACTTTGCTGTAAAGAAACAGCGAATGGGGTGTCCAGCAAAGCATGGGGAGCAGGATAAACACATTAATGGAAAAAAAGCCATTATGTGAGTACACAGCATGTGTGGAAAACAGGGAGAGAGATTCTGGGCAGCAGGGGAGGATGAAAATAAGCCAATGAGTGCTGAAGGGTAAAACACCTGAGGGGGGGGATGGTCTGTGCCTGAAATCTTTCTGCAGCACATCTTTGGTCTCTTCTGCAGTGATTCTCTCACTCTCTGCTCTGCCATGTGCCCCCTTTCCTTCTCTAATGGTGCCCTTTTCCCTTCTGCTGGGGATGGTGCTCTGGTTCCTCCCGCCCCCCTTTCATGCCCACAAAGAGATGCCTCTCCAGTCCTGCTTCCCCTCTCAGCGTGTGCAGTCTCTCGTCTGGGAGGTGTTACCTGTGTCACAGTCCCTTTGCTAATTTATGACAACCATTTCCAGGCACATTATATCCAGGGCCCATATGTTATTTCACCGCTGCCAGAAGAGTTCTTGTTTACTAAGCTGATGCTTTCAGTGGGCTCAAAGTGTGCTAAATAGCACCATCCATACTACTTAAAATAAAAGGTGTCAGCACCCCGGCTGCCCCTGCAAATTGCTTGGCGCTCTCAGCTCTGAAATGTCCCTGTGACGCCTCCAGCTCGCTCTGGTGCTGGGGCCTGATCCTGCTCTGGTCCTTACCCATCTGCTGTGTTCTAAAGACCCTCCCTGTGTGCTCCCTGTCTCCCTCTGAGCCAGTCTGCAACAGGAGGGGGGTTCTTGTTTGAGGCAGGATAATGCACTTGTAATTTTTTAAGTCTCCGAATATCTGGAGATGCTGAGGAAAGCCAGGGCCACTTGTCCACAGCTGCTGGTGCTGGGGGGTGTGCAGAGCCCACACCGAGCCTGTCCCTGTCACCCAGGGCACATCCCCGGGGTGTTCCCAGTGCAGCCTGTGCTGTCCCAGTGCTGCTGTGACCCTTCTGCTGATGGACCAGGCTCCTGCTCTGCTCCCCTTCCCCTCTGCTCAGGACAATGGCTTTCAGTTTTCAGCTCTCCGAGCCACAGCACAACATTAGTGTACAACTCCAGTCCCGTGGCTGGTTGGATATTTCAGTTTCTGGCAGAAAATATCAGGTGCAGAAATTCCACCAAGATGTGGCTTGGTTTGGGGAGGAGGAGGGAGCTGGCACTGGCAGGGAGCAGCAGTGCACGGAGGGGCCGTGGTGTCCCTGCGAGCGGGCACCTCTGACACCCAGGGTCAGGAAAACACCTGCTCACAGATGTACAATTACTGCTTTGAAATGGGATTTTGCTGGATGAAATCCATGTTAAAAACTGTTCTCTGCTGCGCTGGAAATCTAAAATGTCCAAAGTGCCTGGATGGAACCAGGAGGTGGGAGAATGGGCAGACGCCTCTCACCGTTTCCTGACTTTCTCCCTCTTTAGCCCAGAGGGATTAATTGATGCTCAAAGGGAACGGAACTGCTGTTTTGTGAGTGGAATCTGTTGTCTCATTAATTATTCATTCGCAGGTGATTGGCAGCTTCGAGGCGGTGGGTCACAGTCAGTAAAGGGTGAGCTGCTGACTGACAAGGTTAATTGCTGCCTGGCGTTAGTGCTGATAACGATTTATGTTGACAATTCCTGGTGTTCCTGGCGCAGCCGGAGGTTTGTCACGAGGAGTCAGCCCCGTTCTGCCCCTGCTGTCCTGGGCAGCTGGGAGCAGCCATTCCCTTGGCAGTGGGAAGGGGCTTTGTTCCCAGAGCAGGTCTCTCATGATAAGTGATGTACAAGAAGCCTTGCAAAGGCATCCGTTGCTTTTCCCTTTTTCCCTTCTTCTTTTTGCCGTGTTCCCTGCATATTGATCAGGGTTCAGAGCACAGACGTGAGGCTGGGCTGGGCTCTGCTGGTCCCCCCTCGGCGGGAGCCTCAAAGCCGCAGTTGTCCGGGGGCTCAAGTGAATAGAGATGAGAAAGATTTTTGAGGGTGACCCTTGAAAATAATGAAGATGGAAAGGAATTGCCTTTCTGTCTCCGTGTGCAGGGTGGGCTGTGCCTCCAAAGCCCAGAGCCACCCCCGGGCTGTGCCTCTGCCCTGGGTTTGTTCTCCCGGCTGGAAGGGCCCCGCTCACGCTCCCAGCCCGAACCCACAGGCGTTCCCTCGTTCCTCGTGGAAGAAAGCAGAGTCAGAGAGATTTCAGACTAATAAACGTTGGCCTTTAGGGTGCCCTCAGCTTTTATCGGGCTAATAAGATTTTTGACGTGCGTGGCAGGAAGAGGTAAACAGAGCTTTTATGGACCCGGTGTCCTCATCGGGAAAAGCTCAGGCAGCCTCCAGGCAAACCAAGGGGGAGGGAGTTCCTGGGGATGGCTCCTTATGGAATATCTGGGCTTAACTACCCGTCTGATATCAAACTGTTGTAGGTGTGTGAGGGCAGGGAGAGCTGTGCCAGCTGAGCTTCGGCCTCTCTTCCCTCTCTCACCCTGGGTTGTGCCTCAGCCTGTTGTCACCACTTCCAACTGTGCCCCAACCCCCTCGGGGAGCAGCACCAGCAGCAGTTCCCAGGTGTTGGGGTTCAGTTGGGAATTGCTTTTTTCATCACTGGCTTTTATGGCTGATAAAATTGGGGGTGTCATTGAACACTGAGTTTAGGGATAAAATTTGAACAAGAAGGGAAGTGTTGAGTATAAACAGGCATAAGCTTCATTATTTTCTAGAAATTATTTATTTAAAATTTAAAACCATATTACTTCATACAGCAAACTGTGCACTTTGATATATCACAGTGTCTTAAAAAGGAAAATAATCAGAATTTTTTCTTTTTTTTTATTTTTTGGAAATTGTATTTACATCAGCCTAGAATGATCAGCAAGTAACACAGTTACTATGAAACCAAAATTGTTACAAAATGTTTACAAAAAACTATATTCATAGAAATTCTGCATGTCCACAAAGGAAAATCCCCTGAATGTCACGGAGACCATTTTTTCCTTTTTCCCACTCTTTTTGTTGTTGTTTTTTTTTTTTAATTATTATTTTTTTTATCTTTTTTTGAGAAACATGTCGAAGTCAGGTACAGAGCAGATGCTGATGCCTGGGAACACTCCTGCCCTGCCAACCCCGAGCACCTCCAGGGACTGTCGTGCCCCACACACCGTGCTGGGCACCCTGGGGTGAGCACGGGGTGACAGCCACTGAGATCCACAGGGTCCCTTTGCTGTGACCTCTCGAGAGCCCCCTGTGCTGGCACCCGGCCCAATCTGCTCCCAGCAGCCCCTCTGAGGGGGAGCAGTGGGTGCCCAGAGATGGAGCTGGTGCCCCTTTGCATATTCTGTCTCTCTGTGGGTCTGTCCCCTCGGCGTCGGACCCAGCACACGCTGTTGGTTGACTCCAACAGAAAATCCACCCAGGAAAGCTGCTGGCTGTCCCTGCTCTGTCTCAGGGGAGAGCTGGAGGGCAAAAGCAAGTGATAAGGGGATAGTGAGCCAAGGTGACAACAGTTTAGATACAGTTCAATAGCCCAAACCTGCTTTTTCTGTATTTCCTCCTGGATTTCTGTATTTTTCTGTATTTCCTTCTCACTTTTCCAGTCCCTCTGCCCAAGTGAAGAAAGGAACTGAGTTAAGCAGCATTGGAAGTCAGATGAGTTGTAAGATGTGAGTCATCACTAGTCCCAGCCGGGTCACAGACCAGCAGAAGGCTTTGAGGCTTTGTCATCGGGTCTGTCCCTTCCCAAGTCTCCCAACACATTCTCCTCTGGGATCAACACACATGGCTTTGGGCCCCGGGACGAGGAGCACACGGGGAGCAGGGGAGAGGCTCTGGGCTCAGTGGCCCCTCCTGGGAGAGCTGCCCCGGGGCCACAGGAGGGCTGAGGGCTGAGGCCACCCTGTCCCCTCAGGTCAGTGAGCAGGGTGGGCCTGGCAGCTCCCCTCGTTCTGGGCGGTGCAGAACGTTCCCTTGGTGCTTGTCAAATGCTTTAGTGATCAAAATTTCAACATAAAACCATAATGTAGATGCAGGAATTTGGCTGCTGTTCGTGGCTGATTTAGGGGTGTAGGGCAGGAAGGAAAAGGCTCATCTGCAGGGTTTGGTCTGGCTGGCAGTGACACCAGTGATTCCAGATGCTCACCTGTCACTGGGACGTCCGTGAGTCAAATCAAATCAGGCTGGTGTCAAAGAGGAATAAATGGGGTTTGTGGTATTACCAATATTTATTTATTTTTTTAAAAATCTGCCAAGAAGCAAAATGAATGCTGTTTTACTCTCTGGACATTTAAAGCCAGTTTCAGGCTTTGTTTTAATCTCTCCTTTAATTGTAAAAATCTCTTTCTAAGAGCTTAGGAATCTTCAAGGAAAACGTGAAATCTACTCCTCTGACAAGCCTAGGATTTGCAAAGGAATACAGAAAGTATGTCCTTAGCTTTGGGAAGCTGCCCCACACTTCAGTCTGCCCTCCTGATAGCAAACTATTAGGAATCTGGTGCTCACTGCATTGGCAGCTTTCACCCCCAATTTTTCATGGTTTTCGTGAAAAGGTGAAAATGAACACTGAATTCTTTGCATATCTTTACTTGAGTCAAAGTATGACAAATCACCTCGTTTTGTTTGGGGTCACTCTGTTGCTTCTTTACATCATGGAAAAAGCAAAACAAGGACAAACTGTGTTCTGTGCTGGGGCGGGGGAGCAGCTCTCCCCCCTCGAGCTAATTTGCTAATTCTGCTCATCTTGAGACAACCTTCCCGACTGAGCACGGGGAGGAACAGGTGGGGAAAAATCCCCAATCAGCTACAAACAGGTTTGTTGGTTTGTTCCTCTGGGCGAGGGTAAACTCCAGAACAGCCGTGTGGCTCGGGGAGGGCAGACGGGGTCAGTCCGTGGCCGGTTCCCGCGGTGGCCGTGGCACAGAGCTGGGCACTGGCTGCTCCACCCCTGCCCTGCCTGCCCTCCACACGGGTGGGGTCCTGCAGGTCACTGTCCCCTTGCCTGTGCAGGAGAAGGAGGTTCATGTTTTCTACACCAGCAGTGTTTCAATCAGAGCTCTTAAGCACCTTTGCATCACCGGGTGACATTCTGGGTTACCACGGGCAGAGACATTTCCATCTGTTTAACTTTGAGAGTGAACCTGGAGTGTCCTGCTGGCCCCCACAGGCCCCCGGGAGCTGAGGGAGGTTTACTTGAGCGTTACTTTAGGTCAGCAGAGGGGTCTTTGGTAATTCTGCCTAAACTCATCTGCAGGACCAACCTTCTGGGTCGAGCAACCTGAAAATAAGAAGACAGTTCATGGAAGATTTTCTAAAAACATTTTAGCGTGTGTTTGCTTAAATCCCATGGAGAGGCTGCCCGAGGGGCAGCGGTTTGTGGTCGGAGCAGGAGGACACCAGGCTTGGCACTGGCATTGCTGCTCATCCCAGGCCAGCGCTGGCACTGCAGGCTGGGACTCCTTCAGGTCCGTGATGCCATGGAGAGCGTTCAGTCCTAAACCAGCCCCACAGTCCCCTCCTGGGCTGGAGCTGTGGCTCAGCACTGCTGAGTTCCTTGGAAATGGGTGCTTTTGGCTCTCAGAAGCAGCTCTGCTCCCACCACTGCCAGAGCCCGTGGGCTCAGCTGCTTCCTGCGCTCTCGGTGGGACAGACTGAGCTCTGTGGGAAGAGCAGAGGAGGGGCTGGAGATCACAGTGTCACCCTGGGCTTGGCACGGGACGTGGGGGTGGTGTCACTCGAAGATGCAGCATTCCCTGGCCAGGAATTCGGCTCTGTTCAGGCTCAGTCACCCCTTCCAGGCAGCTCTCCTTCCCCAGCTGACCTGGGAACGTGTGTTGCCTTCTCCCACCACGCTCCCACGTGGATATCCAGCCCTGGATGGCCACAGCCAGGACAGCCGCGAGGTGAGGGGCCACCACGAGCTGCTTCAAGAGCAGGCACAGCCTTGACCATCCCAGTGCTTCCCAGATGCCTCTCCCTTTCCCAGACAGTGTATCCAAAATGTGCTGTGAGTGTCGGTGTGGAACAGGTGCTCATTCCTGACCAAGTGTTCCTATTTATTGCCGTGCTGTGGGAGCCGTGCTCGGGGCTCCTCCTCACCCGCTCCGGGGCAGGTTGGCTCAATTCTGCTTCACCTCCTCGTGTTTTCAGTGTGTAAACATCAGACTCCTGGGTGGTGGTTGGATTCCATGAGGCCTGGAGGATTGAAGCTTTAAAAAAAACCAGAAATGAAAAGTAACAAAACCAAAACCAAAAAGCCCCAAGACCCACGTTGCTGTCCGTGCTTGGAAGCTGTGGCTCCTCTGTGGTGATGGATGCAGCTGGGTTGCAAAGGCCTTGTTCTTGAAATGAACAAACCAGGCTTTTTTTTCTTTTTCTTTTTTTCTGTTTTTTTTAATCCTCTCTTCCCTAGTTAAGAGTGCATCCAGCCTTGTCTGCCACAGTTCCTTCCCTCCCGCCCCTCCCCGTTCCCGTTCCCTAGGGGAACACGGGTGCCAATCCGGTGTTGCAGGTCATGCTGTCCTTGCCGGGCAGCCGGCGGTCGTTGAAGGTGTGCATGTTGATCACGGCGTCCGTCTTCACCAGCACGGGGGGCTGGGGCTTGTGCTTGACTCGGCGCTGGCAGGTGAGGGACAGCCGGATCTCATCGGCCACGGCGCTGCAGAAGGAGCGCTGGGGACAGGGACAAACACGGGTCAGTGTTTGCTGGGGACAGGGACAAACACGGGTCAGTGTTTGCTGGGGACAGGGACAAACACGGGTCAGTGTTTGCTGGGGACAGGGACAAACACGGGTCAGTGTTTGCTGGGGACAGGGACAAACACGGGTCAGTGTTTGCTGGGGACAGGGACAAACACGGGTCAGTGTTTGCTGGGGACAGGGACAAACACGGGTCAGTCCCGCGGGCTCTGCTCCCCCTCCCTGGGCGGCTCTGCAAGGCTGGTTTGGGGCATGGGCTGTGCTCGGCAGGGCTGGTTTGGGGCATGGGCTGTGCTCGGCAGGGATGTGTGGGCACCGGGCTGACCCCTCTCCCTTGGCAGGGACTGTCCCTTTGGTGCCTTCAGTCCTGCACAGAGGCAGAGCTGGAGGCGGCTGCTGGAGTGCCAGTGCCGTGTGATCCCTGCGGGGGCTGGCAAGGGTCTGACTCCCTCTGTGCTGGCAGTCAGAGGGCCATCAGATCCTGCTGGGCCTGCTAGTGGGCAGCTTTCCCTCCTCTGTCTAGTCCATCACGAGGGCAGCTCACTTTGATTTCTGGTCGTGCACATAACTGCACATTCCACTTACTGCACCCGAGGAAGAGGGAGGAACATAAAAGCAGTTCTGTTGTTTCCTGAGCACTGATCAGCCACTGTGAGCAGGGGGGCTGGGTCTATGAGGCTGGTGAAGAATTGATGAGACAGTGTGAAGCTTCCTGGTGGGCCCTGACTTGTTCCTTGGGGCTCTTTGAATGGGACTGGGGAGAAGACACATGTATGTTATGCCTGGAATGCAACAAGATTGCATGTGATGGTGCTGAGTGGATGTAACACCTCAGGAAGGTCCTTCCCAGAGACCTCTGTTGGTATTTTCATGAGTTAGGAGTCAGCTTGCTCAAAACTACCCTCCAGTGTTTGCTGGCCTGGCTGCTGCAGCAGCAGATGACTGTGTTCAGGGCAGACATGACCGATCACAGGGACAGATCAACGAGCCTCAGGGGATGGAGGCTTGGCAGTGCTGGATCTCTGCCCCCTCCCTGCCTGTCTCTGGGCTCAGGGTGTGAAGCCCTCCCTGCTGGGCTCAGGGGTGCAGGAGGGGACAGGCGGTACCTGCTCTCTCTCTGCCGTTTTGCGCAGCTTGTAGATGAACTCCACCATGGCCACGAAGACGGACAGCACCAGGCCTGCTGCCAGCACAATGAAGATCCCCCCGATGTTCTGGATGCCCAGAGCACTGGCCTCCTTGTTCTCATCCTCGGGGCAGCCATTCCCCCGCCACCACTTCTCCTTCATGACGTGGAGCTTGTCCTCCTCCTGGAGCTGGAGGATGGCGATGGTGATCTTGTCCCTGTACGGTGACCCTGGGGAGGGGAACACCATGACACACAGGGGGAAGGTGGGACCAAAATCCCACCAGATAGGGAAGGTGTCTGTGTTAAGCAGGGCAGCTCAGACCTCTCTTCAGCAGGCAGACAGTGTAAACTTTGGTATTTGGAACTTTGCTGTTGGGAGTGGCTCACATTAATCACCTCTGTTGTGTTGGTGGGAACCAGCCCCCTCGGGGTCCCTGCAGACCCCCACTGGCACTTACCCATGGGCGTGCCGATGCCGTAGCCTTTGGTGTCGATGAGCCCCCCGATCTGGGTGAGGTTGCAGTTCCTCTGGGTGATGTACTCGATGGTGGTGGACTCCATCAGCAGGGCGTAATCGGCCGTCAGGGTTCGCTGGATCCCCTCCTCGTTGTTTTTAACCAGCGCCGTGGGTTTGCTGCTCATGAAAGCCCACATTTTTTCAAACGTGGAAATTTTGGATTTCTGGAAAAATGATATCCCCACCCCCCCAAAATAAGAATGAATCTTCAATTTGCTGAAACCTGGTATCTTTTCAGTAAATAATAATAACAATAATAATAGCAGTTAAGAACGGGTCACAGAGCGGAGCTATCCCCAATCTGACCTTGTCTTAAATACCTCTGTGCTTTTACTGCCCAGTGTTGTTTGGTTTCATGTTGTCATAACAAGAGACAAAGGTCCCAGCATATGTTCTGCTGTGCAGGTGCTTCAGGCCCTTGGGTGGAACTGAACCCTTTCCTGGCTTCCCTGCAGACCCTCCTCGTGTCCCAGGCCAGCAGCAGATCTGCTGAAATGTATAAGTGTCCTAAAAAGGATTTCTTTACCCTTTAACATTTCTGCATGGTTTTCTCTGCCACACATATTCTATGATATTTTTGTCTTTCCTCAAGCATGGCAAGGAAATATGTCTCCTCTGAGATATGTGCAACTGCCAAACAGATTTAACGTAACCACGTAAACAGAGGCACAGAGATACTCAAGATTGTCTTACGGCTAAAAATAAACATGGATATTCTTTCACTATCAGCAGGCATTCTGTTGCAAAGATGGGGAATATGTTTTCTATCTTGCTATTCATGTGAATGTTGTTTTTTTCTTTTACAAAATGTGTTGGGTGAGAAGAAATATGGTTATTTTACATCTTGCCATAACATTTGAAATGTACCATTTATCTATGAGCACCTTCTGAGTTGTCTCTGCCACTTGTCACAGAAGTCATAGAATCCCAGAATGGTTTGGGTTGGGAGAAACTCATCCAGTTCCACCCCCATGGGCAGGGACACCTTCCACTAGCCCAGCTGCTGGTCAGAAGTGGCTTTAGTTTTGGCAGATTCCCTGGACAGGCAGAGCAGTTCCCTCCTGCTGTGCCCCTTTGCTGTCCCTCAGATCCGCTCTGTTCCTCCAGGAACAGCACCTGGATATCAAAGCCCGTGTTCCACTGCTGCCTCCTCCTTCATGCACCGTTCTGCTTTTCTGCCCAGTTCCTTGTTTTTCCTCTTTTTGCCTTTTCATTTCATCAGAGGCAGCTTAGTCAGCCAGACCTGCTCCTCCACCACGCTCCTGGTCGAGGCTGGAGCTGGCTGGTGAGTTGGAGGGCTGGGAAGTCCCTGTGCTGTGCCCTGGACAAGGGCAGCTGCTCAGCAGCCACAGCGACTCAGCTGTTCTCCCTGCAGGTCTCTGTCCTTCCGTGAGGAAGCAGGAGATGGAGCCCCAGTCCAGCCCAACTGCTGCTGCCACAGCTCCTCCTCATTTTATCAGTATCACCCAAAATGTGCCAGCATAGGCTCTTCTGATGAAACCACTATAATTCACAGTGCATTATCTGAAAGTCCCTCATAATGCTTTGTATTCCAAATGCCTTGCCCAGCCACTTCCTTTTTCCCAGCGAGTTTAGCAAAAGTTAAACAAAAGCTCAGGGGGGTGCAGTGCAGTTCAAGCAAAGGCCGTTCCCCTGCCTTTAACCCCGCGGGCCCCTTCTCCTCTCCAAAATGCCCACGGGCTCATTTCTCCTCCATTAAAGCTCGTGCTCATTATAATCCACTTGATGAATGTGCAGCAGAGGATGTATCACAGCAAACTTCATTCAAGAGGCAGGATAATCTCCCTCACTTGAAAATCTGGACCGGTGCCTGTAAGGTAGATTTGTGGCATCTATCAAACCTCAAAGAGCAGCAAGAAATGTAGCCTGCAAAAGGATTATTAAATACCTGTGCGTTACAATGGGTAATTGAAATGAATCTGGTGCTCGGCTGGCTGATAAGGACCTGTTTAACATTTATATAGTTCAAATCAGAGGCCTCTGGGTTTCCTGGCTCTCCCTTTGCCACCTTCTCTTCCTGCTTTTAATGCTCCTTAGGTGTTGACACAGAGCTCTTAACATCAGTGTTCTCCCAGTTTAGAGCATAGAGCAAAATAAACAGGCAAAAAATCAATAGGCTGCATTTAGTGAAGCAAATGGGACTTGCATGAGGCACTGGAGCTCTTCAGGCAACTGAAATTCTATGGAAGAGAAAAACCACTTTTCTCTTCTCCTCTTAAATCACCGCTCCTGACCAGCTTGAAAGGACTTGATTGTGTTTGGGAATGCCAGGAAGAGCCCAGATTTCTCCAAGAAGAGTCCAGCTACTTCGAGTCCAGCTCTGAGCATCCCCAGGGCCGAGCACCCCTCCAGCTGGGGCTCCCCTGGGTCAGGGCTGGCCACGAGGATGGAGCTGCTGGTCACTGCTCCCTCCTGCCAAAGGAACAGCCGGGACAGACCTCTGGACACAGGGCCTGGCTGTGCCTCATCCTGCTCACCCCTCTCCCTCCTGCCAGTGGAGCTCTCCTCGATTTGTTCGCGGTAAATAACACCAGGATCTGCTCTGCTGTGCTCTGCATCCCAATCAGCCCGGGTTGGTGCTAAATGAGATGTGTGAGAGCCGAGCACCAGCCCCTCCGATCGCAGCGGCACCGACGGCGCCTCCGACTTCATTCTTCAGAGTCACAGCTCAGGAGCCACCTTCAATAACCAGTGCTGCAGGGCCAGTCACCCACAGCAATTAATGGAATCGTTTAGAGGAGCCCCCACGAGGCACCTTGCCAAGACATATACGCTTTTTTATCAGCCAAATTGGCAAGAAAGGAACTATCAGGCTTAAGATTTTCAATTCCAGCCTGTATGAAAAAATAAATTGATTTTCACCAACTGAAGATACTCTCACTCTTGAGGATTGAACGTGTACAAGTGAGTCTCTGTGTACACACACACCCCCGGGTTCCAGACTGCACGTGAGACCCGTCGTAGTTCGGAGCAGCAGCATCCTCTGTGGGATGGGAAGGATTTCTGGCATGAGTTATAATGAACTTGAGATGCTATTCCTAAATTAATTGATCCGTGTTTATTCCTGTAACTCAGTCTGCATTGCCAGGGAATAAATAGCTTCTCAAAAGTTCTTTTCATGAAGTCAAAATCTGCCAATACGGTTGGTAAAACTTCTGCTTCCCGTCTGCCGTGGCCAGGTAGCTGGGCTGCCCAGGGAGAACCTTTGTGGGAGCAGGATCCCCCACCATGGAGATGCCCCAGGGGTGTCTCTTGGCTCTGCTCCATCAGGACCTTCTGTAATGTCCCTGGTGAGCTCTGCACAAACCCTCAGGCAGCCTGAACACAGAACTGGTCAGTGCTTTGGGAACCACCTCAGGGAACAGCGTGCAAGCGTCTGCCTTCCTCTTCCTCCTGCTCTCCACTGCTCCCCGAGCTCAGCTCCCGGGATGGTGCTCTCCTCCTGCAGCCCGAGGTGCCACAGGGCCTGGCTGTGCTCGGGGTCATGTGGGAGTTTGCAGCTGGTTTAACAGGAGCAGTGCAGGAGCGAGTTCCTGACGTGTGGGAAGGAGCCAGGCAGCAGTTTGTGCCGAGTCCTGGTGATAATCCACGGAGCAGGATTACTGGTGTGCTGCCCTCAGCCTCTGTCCCGGCAGTGCCGGTGTGCTCGGAGCTGCTCCGTCCCCAGGGCCTCTCCAGGAGCTGTGGTGCACAGGAGCCAGCAGGGCTGTGTCTGGGGTGCCCCCCTTCAGCAGAGGAAGGGCAGGGAAGCCACGAGCCCTTTGCTGTTCCTCCAGTGCCACCCATCCGAGGGAATGCGGATCCTCAGCGCTCGTCCCCCGGAGCTTTGTGCTGTGTGACAGGTGTCCCCGAGGAGGGGGCACTGCCACCGTGGCTGTGGGAATTGCCCAGGCACTGACAGAGACCGTCCTGGGGGTGGGAGAAATCCTGGCTCTCCTGTGCCCCTCTGGACATGAAGGGCAAGCGAGCAGAACATCCCACACAGGTGCTCCCACTGCTCTAGTAATGGAAACGCTTGTCAGAGGGGACATCCCTGAGGATTCATCTCCATACAACAGTGATAATAAAATACACTGCATCAATAAACCCTGCCAGGGCCATTGGAAGCCTGAAGTATGATTCTGATGGATAATGATATGAAGCAATAAATATACTGTGTCCTGATGATTGTTAAAAGAGACAGTTTCCTTTTATTCCCGTATAAAACTCGTCTTGGAAAGCGCAGTTAAAGCACACAGTTACAGCCTGTCTTTCCCTGCTGGCTCTTCCAGGTTTATATGGCTCTGGAAGGTACCACTGTGCATCTGGCCCGTGCCACAGACAGAAGCCATGGACCAGCTCCATGGCAGGAGGCAAATGGGCCCTCAGTAGCAAGTGGGCATTCCCAGAATTCGTTAAAGGACAAAGCAAACTCCCAACCAACCTCTGCTGCTGCCTGTCACAGTAAGGGTGGAGATTCAGGAAGGGCAGTGGCTCCTCAGCAGGGTCAGAGCCCAGAGAAGTTGTGGGACAAGGAGGTTCTTTGTAATTAAAACCCAGCACATTGGCTTCCTCTAATGAGTCTTGCCAATTAAACTGGGGAGGCCTCCTCAAGCTGTGGCACCCTGTGCCTGCTCCAACACTGCAGCACCAGGTCCAACCTGCCTGGTGAAGCCTGGACTGTGCTTGTCACATATTTCCTTCTGCATTAGGGGGATGAGGGGGAAGGAGTGTTTCCCAGTGGAGGTGTGCTGGAGCCAGTCTCATTCCTGAGCCAAGGGCTGGAATCTGCCCATGCTCCTCTTGCCTTGCCAGGGTGATAATTCCTTAATCACCCCTCGTTTCTATCCCTTTTTTCTCTCTCTTGTTTTAAGTGGGTTTTTACAGGCCAGCAGTGGTTTTAAAGGTCTTTTTACACCTCTCAGTTTCTTTCCATTTTTGAGGCAACAGTGGAATCTGACTGACTTCTGAATTTAATTAGGCTTTAAATAGAAGAAGTTAATGCAATTTGATTGTGATGTACTGGTGGTGTTACCTTGCCCTGGATCTCAGAGGTTAATAAAACTGGACTGCATTGATATGAATAACTGAAGGACAAGAAAGATATTTCAGCTGTAAAAAGTACTGGTCAGGGAGGGCACTTTGCAACATCTGTCCAGCTGCAGGTTCCATTTGTGCTCCTCTGTCCCTGAGGGCTGGCTGGGTCAGCCTCGGGGCTCCCTGGGGCTGTGCTGGCAGAGGCATGGAAGGAGCTGGATGCATCAGGTGTGGAGATTGGGAAGATGCTTTAGGGAATGTAAGATTTTTCTGTAGGGCTTTAATACAAACCACACCTGTCCCGTTGTGCCTGGCACGTGCTTTGTTTGAGGGTGTCTGAGCCAATACTGGATACAGCCTCCAAAGCTGTAAAATCAGTGTCATTTTCTAACTGTGACTTCAGTTGGCAGCAGGGAGGGAGGATTTAGCCTTGGTGGGACTCAGGAAGGCTGCACTGTCAGTCTGCACGAGATGTGAGACTGAAAGAACCCGCCTGTGAGGAGCAGCAGTGGTGGCCTGGGAGGCTTTGTGTCTTTGGATCTTTGTTCTCACTCCCGTTGGCCTCAGCGTGGTGCATCTCTGCCTGGAAGGTGGAAAGCCTCTGCCTGGTCTCACCTTGAAGAAGGTCATGGTAGCTCCATCCTTCACTGCTCCGTACTCTATTTTTGTCTGCTTTGCCAAGTCATCTGCCGAGTCGATGGGGGACTCCATCCTCTCCACCGTCAGGAAGGCGGCGAGGTTGGCCGTGTAGGACGAGATGATAATTAGGGTGAAGAACCACCATATGCCACCAATGATCCGTGTAGACAGGGCCTTGGGCATCAGCTCCGAGCCTGGGGCGGGACGGGGGGGGCAGGGAGGAAACAGAGGCCCCGTTTTATACATACGTATGGACATTATATTTGTACATATATATATATATATGTAGGATTAAGTTTCACTGTCAAAACTGTAACAGCTATGCAATTAAAGCCAACTGGTTTTGAGGCAGATTACCCAGACATCTTGCATGCGAGGACATCAGTGGGGTTTTTGTAGCATTTGCAGAAAAACCCTCTCCCTCGATTGCTGACCTTGGGTACAGTGCCCAATTTACAGGAAACATCCAAACTGAAGTAATTAACTGGGCTGCTTTTATGAGATTTAAATAGCAAGCTATTTATGAACTTTTATGAGTGTTTTGTTCTGCCATTTAAAAAGTGCTTTGCTTTTATATGGATTATTTTCAAAGGGCTCACTCTGGGGAGTGTGTTCAAATACACAAGTTTGAAAAAAAATCAAACAGCCAGAGAAAGGAACTATCAGGGTCCAGGGCTTTGAATGCCAGTTAGAAGTGGGGAAGCAGGAGATGTTACAGCATAAAAGGTGTGGTGGGTCTGGAGTGACTTTTATTGAGCAGACACGAAGGGCTAAATGGGATGTGCTATTTTTGTAATGGCCCCAAACACCTTTTAAAGCCAGGCAAGAGCTTTGGGTTTGAAACAGCTGCGCTCAGAGGATTTATCAGCCTGGAATGTGCAACAAAGATTGGGCTTTGCAAAGCAATTTTAGGCAGTGTGGCATCAAAGCAGAGCTTGGGGTGTAGCTTTGCTCCCATCTGAGTGCAGCAAGGAGGCACCAGGAAGAGGAGGAGCCCTGGATATTGAGGATGCTTTGGTTCTCCTCAAGATCCTGCTCCTTCCCCGTTCCATCTCCTGCCCTTTGATGCATTGGATGCTGTGACATCAGTCCGGCTTTGAAATATTTTTCTTCTTAGATGCAGAATTGAGTTAAAAAGAATACAGCTCTTTTCATTTATCAGCATCTGATAAGGGGATGATTCATCCTGCTAAACCATCTTGCTGGGAACTGTCACAGTCCACGAGGGCAGCCGAGATCCAGGAGGAATCTCTATTACAGGCAGGAGCTCTGTGCCTGCACCGAGCCAGTGCTGTGCTGCTTTTGCTCTCTGGGCATAACTACTGGTACACGGTAAATTAAAGTGTGACAAATGTTTGACATTTCCACTTATTTCTATTCCTGGATTTTCTGCAATTAGATCACAGCTGAATTTCGTTCCTTATTCAGAGCTGCTCCCAAGCTCCCCCCCGCTGCCTTCTGAACAGATTTACTCTATGCATTCCATCTCTCTGTTCCCTTTGCTCTATTCCGTGCATGCACACGAGTGTAATCCCATCCATATCCCATTCCCAGGGCCCTGTCATGGGAGTGTCTCACACCAGGCACACTGAAACAGTCCCCTCACGCAGTGGCTGCCGGGCAGGGGCTCCCGGGGAGCTCCTCACCAGGAGCTTCAGGCCACTTCACACTGCTCAGAATGACCAGGGCAGGGAAAAAATGGGGACAGAGCAGAGGGCCAGACACCCTGTCTGCTGGGAAAGTTGATTTAGAGCAGAGCGAGCCAGGGCAGAGATCCTGAAATGGAACAAAGGGTTCGAATTAACAGAAATAGGAATTTACAGATCTGTGGGATGTGGCTGAGTTGGGTGAATGAGGCAGCTGAGGGACAGGAAGGCAGGGTTCCCCCTCAGGGCATGGTGGTGGGTGCTCAGAGGTTGCAAACAAACCAAATTTTCAATTGAAAAAGCCACACTGGCAGTGGGTGCTGGGCAGGGAGTGGGCAGGGGGTGCTGCCCTACCTTGCTGCATCAGCGCTCCCATCCCGAACCAGAAGCTGTTGAGGAGGGTGAAGTTGTTCTCCACGATGTCCGAGCCCGGGTTGCAGGGATGGGCATCGTACCACTCGTAGGGGCTGAACCTGCAGCACAGGGAGAGAGTGTTGGTCGGGGTGTGGTGGGACAGGATCCTAAAGGAGCAGGAGATAAAGGGCCTCAGTGCCTCTGGTGCTGCCGGGCAGGGGCTGCTGACCCCCTGGCAGGAGGCCTGTGAGAGATTCTGACTGCAGAGGTGTCTGGGACAAACGGTGGTATTTCAGGGATTCTCCCAGCAGTGCATGTGGGAACTGGAGTGGGATTCAAGTTAGTGAGAAGCAGAACTGTCCACCGTCCTGACAGGCAGGAATTCTGCCCAGTCAGGGCACCAGCAGAACAGTGGAATTTGGTGCAGGTTCCCTGTGGATTGCTGTGACACTTGGCCCTGTAGCAGGTGGTGGGAGAAACTTATTCCCTGCAGGGATGTATTTCCGTGGATGGCCCTGCAGTTCTTGAGCAAAAATGAGATAATTTCCTGTGAACATCTCTGCAAATCCTGCCCAGGATTGGCAGGAAAGCACTGCTGGGAATGAGCTCGTTTAGCCAGGATCTGGGGAGGATGCTCAACAGGAGAGACGTTAATATTTTTAGAGCTGTTTATTTACATTTTCTGAGAGTCCCAAATTTTGCAGAGATTAAATTAAAAACATAATTGGTATAATTGCTTTTGAACCAGGCATTAATTATCATCTCCGCTTCCTTCTGGAATCCCTGGAGATTCACAACAGCCCCTTCTCAGAGCCCAGCCCACAGCCTGTGTCAGGAGATGTTTCCCTCTGTAATTCTCCACCAGATGTGCCACCACCCAAGGAGACAGTTTGTGGCTCCCTTCCAGGGGTGCCCTCGCTCACAGAGCTGGATGTGTTTGGAGAGAAGGGCCCCAGCTCTGTGCCAGGTCCCTGCTGGCACTGAAGCCTGCCCCTGGCACACGTGGGTGCAGAGCTGGAATCCTGTCCTGTGGCCGGAGCAGGGCCAGGCACAGGAGGGTCCAGGGGATGGACCATCCCGGGGGATGGACCAGGCTCTGCTCGTGCCTTTGGAAAGGGTCACCCTGGGCTCAGCTGTCCCACTTTCTGCTCCTGTTTTCCACGTGCGATGTACAGTTCAACAGCCTCTCCTCTGCTCTGGGTTATCTCACCTCCTGCAGCGGGGCCGTTCCCTGCCCTGGGTTGGGGGTGTGGAACCAGAGGTTCTGCTCACCCAGACAGTCCTGCTTGTTCCTTCAGGCAGTGGCTGGGCTGTCCTTGCTGCCCACCCACCTCTGCTTTTTAAATCAGAGGAAATCAGCAAGGAAACAAGAACCAGGCTGAACTCAGACCCAGCTTTACATGCTGCTTATTCCTTGTAACTGGCTATAAATCACACCAGAGGTGGGTAAAGGATGGCACCTCAACCTTTTCTGCTGGATAAAGCCAGAATTCAGGAATTAGATTAAAACTTTCTTGGGCTTCAGTGAAACACTGAAACAGAAAGGGAATGGGTGAGATCAATGAGCCTGGCGAGATGACACGCTGGAGAACTTCAAGGTCTCTGAGCAAAAACCTACTGGTGCTGCTCAAATGACAGAGAAATATTCAGAAATCTGCAGAGCAGCGAGAGTCTGAGCAGTGAAGCCATTAGTGGAGGCAAGAGGTAACGAAGGAAGGAGGGAGAGGAGCTCACTGACCCCGTGCAGCCGGAGCCACAGTCCGTGGGGAGCTCAGGATGCTCCATGGAGGGATTCCCTTGCCCGCAGGTGCCCAGTGGGCTCAGAGGAGTGTTCCATCCAAAACTGTGATTGTTTCCCTTGTGATTGTTGGCCTTTTTTGGCAGGGAAATGCAGACATTTCAAAGAAGTTTTAAAGTCCTAACGCAGAATACTTTTGAGTCTAAATTGCATCTCCAGAGAAATTTGCTGTGGGTGACCCAGCCCTCAGTGCAATGAGGAGGGATAATGAACCCACTGCCCCGTTGTGCACCCGAGGGGATTGCTGTCACTCAGGGGCTGTGGGAGCCTGAGGGCAGGGGGCAGTTCAGGGCACAGCCCACCCCGAGGGTCACAGACACATCCCCCTCCTCAACCTTGGGGAGTGTTGAGGCTCTTGAGGGCTGGGGGTTGGGAGCAAGGGCTCCATCAATAAAGGACTGAAAGACTGATTAAAAGGAGAAATGGATCCAATCCATCCTTTGCCTGCCTCTAAATAGTCCCCGGATCGGTTTTAAGTGGCATTGACCAATGGCTGTGGCAGGAGCAGAGGACTCTGGTGCCTGGTTCTGGAGACTCATGGCTTTGAATTAAGGCTTTGCTGTTTTGATTGTGGTTTCTTTCTGAGAATTGAATTCCAGAGGCCTTGCTGGGGTCAAAGGCAGATATTGTTTCCATTACTTCTGAATGCAGTAAATATTTTCCCTGTGAAATCTCTTGCTTTCCATCTCTATGTGTTAAAAGATCATTCCTGCAGAACCTTAATTACCCTGAATACTTGGTGTTCTTTGAAAGAAAGATGACAGAAGAAATGTCAGGAACAAAACATGTGAAAAATAAACAGTAATCACAATATTTTATGTGTTGAATTTCAGCCAAAAATGGCCTGATAGAGAAAAATTGTAGTATTTTATTGCAATTGATGTGATGCAGGGAGATGCTGGGGCTCATTTCAGAACAAAACCAGAGAAAAAAACATAGTTGTCCAGGTTTTCATCCCTCAGCACCGGCAGAGAGCCAAGGCTGGGCAGAGCCACTGTGCTCAGACAGAGCATCTGGATGTCCCTGTTTGTGCAAGTGGTGTCTCATCAGGGCCTGTCCCAGCATTTCCTTCATCCTTTCCTCAGTATTTGCTGCAGTATTTTATGTGCAGATACAATTTGCACATTTAACATGCTTTGAAAGTGGGGGCTGGACAATTTGGGCTGGATCTGGCCATTATGAGTTGGGAAAAATAAGCTCATGAATATAAAAGTGTGTTTGAATTGCCACTGCAGGCTGCACAGGCAGCCTGGTGCTTGGTGGCACTCAAGGCAGCAGTGCTGTGGGAGCAGAGCCCACCCAGCTGTGTCCTGCCCAGGGACAGACAGCCAGGGGCTTTCTGCCACTCTTCCCAGGACTTCTCCTGCTCGTAATTGCCTTGGGTCCATTTTCCCAGATGAGAATCTTTTCTTGCTGAGAACAGCTGGTTCTCTCTGGCACAAAGCAGAACCACTGAGAGCCTCACCCTGCCCCACTGGAGCCCCCACAGTCTTCCCAGGGGTTTCAGCTGGTGGCAGGGAGGGTTCTGAAGGCCCCACTGGTATCAGTTGGATGGGCAGTAGTGAGAGATGAGTGTCTGACTGCAGGCTGGGCTGAGGAGTCTTCCCTGGACGTGGTGTGTATGCACAATATTCCATGGAGGGCTGTGTGTGGCCAGGGAGGGCGGCTGCCCCAGGAGGGGGAGAGTGCCTTGTTCTGGTTTAAAAGGTGGGATCACGGATTGAGAGCATCCCTGGACTGTGTCTCATCAAAGGCTCTGTGGAATTAACAACACATGCAAATATATGCAAATTCTGATTTTAAATATAGAGGATTTAAACATGCTAATTAGATGCATATTAATGTTGTAAACAGACACATTGTCAGATCTGTGGCGATGGCTTCTCCAGTCTTTTGATAGGGGAGGGTTTGCTGGAGCTTTGCTGGTGGAGGGATCAGAGCCAGGAGCAGCAAACGGTGTGGGAGATGGAGCTCTGTGTCCAGGAGCCAGGAGGGTGTGGGAGATGGGGGCTGTGTCCAGGAGCCAGGAGAGTGTGGGAGATGGGGGCTGTGTCCAGGAGCCAGGAGGGTGTGGGAGATGGGGGCTGTGTCCAGGAGCCAGGAGGGTGTGGGAGATGGGGGCTGTGTCCAGGAGCCAGGAGGTTGTGGGAGATGGAGCTCTGTGTCCAGGAGCCAGGAGGGTGTGGGAGATGGGGGCTGTGTCCAGGAGCCAGGAGAGGCTGGGGAGGGGTGTGAGCACTGACCGAACAGGACATGAATGGAGAATGACACAGAGCAGGAAAATTACCCTTCACATACCGGGGAGGGGCTGATGAGATGGAAAGGCAGCAAAATTTCCAAAATCATGAAAGAAAGTGCATTTTAAAATTCTTTCCTCCTGGCAGTGTGTGAGAGCAAGCAGCCCCTGAGGGGATCCCAGTGGTGACACGGGTTTGGTGTGTCCCCTTACCTGGCTATGACAAAGAGCACACAGCTGACCCCCAGGTAGGCGAGCAGGATGTACATCCAGATGTCGGGAGAGAGGGGGTTGAGGAAGGAGAACACGCTGGGGTTGGTCCCGTTGGGTTTCCGGTACAGGATGCTGACCCCCAGGGTCATGAAGGGCTTGGAGAAGTCGATGGCTTTCTCCCGGACGTGGGTGATGGTGAGAGGAGCCACGGCCAGGTCAGCTTTCTGTGAGCAGCACAGAGGGAGGGGACAGGGCGAGAAGGAAAGGAGGAGTTAGAAGCTGAGGTGTTTCCATCTCCTCAGAGATACAGCCCTCACACAGCAGAAATGGGCCAAAAAGTGCCCCAAGTGCAGCCTTGGGGTTCCCCCCTCCTGTTGCACTTGGGGCCATGTGCGCTGTGAAATACAGATGTGGGGTGTATGATTTGTGCTGTGAAACAGTGCAGCCAAAGGGAGGTGTGACAGCCTCTGCAGCTCTGCTAAACTGGTCAGAAAAATTCGATTTTGTGGTGTTACAGTGTCAGTGACCCTCGCTGTGCTGCTCCTCACTCTAAGCAGAGAGCAGCTGTGTGTAAACCCGCCCTGGCAGGGGTGGGTTGTTGTTGTTGTCCTTCCTTTCATGCTGCTTTACTGATTTCTGTGCTAATTCAGCGACTGACCACATACACCCTATTGGTTCAGAGCTGTGTTCATTCCTCTCACTGAATATTCACCCAGGCTCTTCAAAAAGCCACAAGAAAATACATCCAAGGCTTTCTCAATGTCACCCGCCTTGCCTGGGCTTTGCAAGCCACTCTTTGGGACTGTGGACTTCCGAGGAAATGCAGGCACATAAATTATAGCTCTGAAGTTGAGCAGAACCTCCCCCCGTGCCAGGAGCTCGTGCGAGATTTATTTAACATCTGGTTCTGAAAATTAAAATTCCGAATTACCCATGAGTGATAATTACCTAGAGATGGAGTGAATTTGTCATTACTCACAAAGTGTAAATCAATATTAGCTGGAACATGCTTTGCTCCAGCAGGAACTGGGGGTTCACTGTAGGAACTGGAGCAGATCCCTGGCCTGTGCTGGGGGGGAAGCTCAGGTTAATGGTCTCGTTTGGCCTTCCAAATCTGTGATGAAAGTCAGTGGAATATTTTTAAATAGAGGAATGTGGGCCTTTTACTCTAAGAAGAGTCTCCACAAGAGCTGTTGTCCATTACCCAGGGGTGTGTGTGTGTGAAAGGGATCCCCTCTCCAACGAGTGCAGCCTCAGAGGGCCTGAACAGAAGAGCTTCAGGAATTCTGTAACGAGGGTAAAAGGGATGTATTTTGTTCTAACGTGGTTCTCCAGCTACGCCCTGGTTGGTTCCCTTTCCTTCTCACTTTCCAAATGGAAATAGGTTTTTAAACCACCTTGATGCAGAAACAGCCCATTTCAGTCACTGGCACTTGTCAAAACTTGGGGAAAATGGGAACAATATTTTCCAGGTGAGCCTGCTGTGCCACCTGTGGTTGTGGTGACATGGGTGGAGGCTGAAGGACAGGGGTTTGGAAGTGGACAGGCAGTGGTGGCTGCTCAGCCTGAGGTGGGAACGTTCTGCGTCCTTGGGACCGTCCTGGCTGCTCCCCCAACCTCACAGCACACCTGGGAATTTTGGCTTAGTGCTCCCCACAGTCACAAGGCAGAAATGCAAAAGAAATGCAGCGTTTTCCCTCCTCCATCACTTCTGTGTGGGTGTCCTGACTCACCAGGGAAAAGCGAAGGAGATGTTGAAGGATTTGGCTCCGAGTTTTTCTGAAGGAGGGAACAAACGAGCAGTTCTGTGGCCAGAGCTCGCTGGCCAAGGGACGGGCTGAAGGATCCTCAGCCAAATTTGTCACAATGGTACAGTGAGCAAAGGAACAGCCTGGAGTTTGTGCTTTGCCACGGAAAATGAAGAGAGAGAAATCTGCATGGACACCCGGGCATCCAACTGCTTTTAGTGCAGAAATAAAATTTTACTGTGTCATTCCATCGGTTCCTGAGCTGTGCTCCCAGCCCGTGTCCTTGCAGGGAATGTCACACGCAGGCAGGATGGAGCATGGATTTGGGAGCCCGGGCTGGGGTGTGTCCTGAGCAATTAGAGGCAGTGCAGGGCTGCAGTTCCATATCCTTTTTATCAATGCAGATCTTTCTGAAGGTGGCCTCTAATTAAAGGTTTGCTGACGGAGAGGATCTAAATCAAACCCACCGAGGATGAAGCTTTGATTTGTCGTGCTCTGACGTTCCAAACCGGGCAGTCAATTACCAGGCTCTGGCTGCTTCCTTCACTCAGCCCTGACTCTTGTGCTGTTGCACAGTCAGGTGGATTTTATTGAAAATGAGGAATTAGAGCAAGTGCCAGTGGCTTAAAGGCCCTTGTCCAGCAAAACCACTTAAGCCCATGCCTCTCTTTTCCTGGAGCTTGCACACCTTCCAGGCGCTGTACATGTTCTTAAGTGTTCTGCTGAATTGAGGCCAAAAAGATGAATTTTGCCGAGGCAGCTACACACCAAATGCAGACACTTCTCCAGCACACCTCGAAGGGTTTGGATCTCCTCATTCCCCCAGTTACAGCATTTTCACTTGGCTGGAACGGCTGCGGGTTCACCGGGCGTTCAGCACAGGGACAGTCACATTCGCTGCAGAGATATTTGGCTTTTATCAGAAAATGCCAAACCTTATCTCCAAGTTCTCAGCTATCAGGGGGATGTGGCCTGTGGGTCAGAAGAGCTCTTGCACAGCCATGGTCACTGTGGGAATCCTGCAGTGCCCGACCTCGGCCGGAGCCGGGCCGGGGGTGAGGGCTGGTCATGGCAGAGCCCAACAGTGTGAGCACCCAGACAAATATTTATCCAAGAAAATAAGCTGCCTCTGTGCTTATTTTGCCAACCTGCCTTAGGTATTTACATAAACTAATCATGTGTGTGTTGCCTGAGAGACAGAAATAGTGTGTGTTTTACTGCTTTAATTGTTATCCAGGTGTCTGTCTGGCAGCACCGACACCGTCCTCCCTTGGTCCCTCTTGCCAGTGCTGGGCCTTCTGTGCTGGGTTCCATCTCTGTCCCCTCCCTGCTCTGCTCGCTTGGCTGCTCTGCTCCTGCTCCCTGTGCCCAGATGAGGGGCTGCTGCTGGGGAGGGGTGGGAGTGCTCTGTGGGAGCCCCGAGCCTGCCCGGGGACAGGGGAACACTCCAGGGCAGCAGGGTTGGTGTTAACTGTCTGACTCCTCCGGCTCTTAACGGCTGCTCTGGCAATCTCAGTCCTCATTTAGACATAATTTTTGTCACTGAATTTATTCAATATCACTGGTGAATTAAAAACAGATGTCAGCAGGGAAAACCTTGCTGTGAGCTGAAGAGGAGGAATGAGAGCCATGAAGTCCTGTTTGGACTCTTGTAATCTTCACTTTAAGGAAGTTCTTCAGAGCTGGAGCTGCCATTAATTGTACCTGAGGGATGTGAAGCTGAAAGATCCTGGTGAGAATGGCCATACTGTGAGAGACAAGTCCTATCCTAGGGATTCCTGGCAGATGAACCAGCCAGGGAGGGGCAGGCAGGTCCAGAGACACCTGCAGAGACATGCAGAGAACTCGGGGTCCCAACATCCACTTCAGTGCTTCACCTGATCCCTGAATAGGGCCCAGTTATGAATCCACCCAGTTAACATCTCAGCACAGAAGGAAAAGCTGCTCTGGCTTATTTCCATCCCTTCCCTAATGCTGAGGTCCTGCAGTGTCTAAACAAGAGGTGGAGGGCACCTCATCCAGTGAAATTGTTTTTTCCCCTATTCCTGGCTCCGTGGCTTCCAAACAAAGTCTCAGTTCACGACACTTGAGATGAACCTCCACCAGTGCAGGAGCTGGCAGTGTGCTGCAATATGTATTTCTGCCAGAATCTGCTATCAGTAAATGTCCACTTCTTGTGAAAGTGTTAAATCAACCATCAGGAATCGTCCCTAAGGATGGATATTACATCTCCTCTACAGTTACCATTGGCAGGGATTTCCATTAGAGACCCTGGTATTTTCCATACCTGTTTTATTCCCCCCTGAAGTTTCAGATTGAATGGCAATTTGATGTGCACCGTTTCAGCAGAAGACAAGTTTTATTTGTGAACAAGTTTGTGCAAAATGTCCAGAACAACTCATTCTGCTGGTTTTATGGGATCCTGCCCACAAACAATAAGGGAAGATTTGCAGGCGTTGCTTTGCCAGACAACTGGAATTTATAAATCAGAACGGATGGGCCACGGTGTGCAGTGGAGCTTTGCTTGTATCAGTAATAATTTCTATGAATAAACATCAATAGCAGTTCACTGCTGCTGAAAGGAGGAGGTTTGGCAGTCATCAAGTTCCCTGTTTGTTATGGATAAAGGGCTCGGGAGCTTCTCTGCATCACCTGGGTGCCCCAGACCTGCCTGAATACCCGAGTTCAGCTCTCACGGCCCTTCTGATGAAGGTTTCTCTGCAGGAATGGCCAGAGCGGTGACAATAACCAGCAGACTGGTGAGGGGAGAGGTTAGTTCTCCAGGGAATGGGCTGAACTCCCTCAAAACAGGGATTTTTTTCTGCTGAGGACGAGCAGCAGATGAAAGGCAGCGGGGCAGGGCTGTTGCGTTCAGCTGCACGAGGCACCTGGCAGACAGGGTCGTGCTGTGCCTGCTCTGATTGCTGTTGCTTTTCCTGTTTATGCTTAAGGCCAGACTAGAAACGCAGGGATTTTACAAAGGATCATAGCCCAAGGCATCCCTGCCTGTGGCCAGGCATGTCTGGATCAGAGAGCAGAGGGGAGGGGGGGATGCGTGACTGCGCCAGCCGAGAGCCCTCGCTGTGTAAACACCTCTCCTGCACGGGCCTGATTTACCCCCTGGGAGCCTGATTTACCCCCTGGGTGATAGCACCCACCCCTCAGACACTGCTCTCGTCACCCCCCGGGCTGCCCCTGCCCAGCTCCTCTCGGGTGCCTCTCCCAGCCCAGCCAAGGCCATCCCCAGGGACCGGCTGCCCCTTCCCTGCCCATCTTCTCCAGGTTTCAGCCTCGGATCAGGCTATTCCTGGCATGCAGAATCTGCCACTCCCAGGGCTCCCAGGCTCTCTGAGCAACAACAATCACCATTTTAGCCTCTCATTACACCCCAGGAGGACCCCCTGCTCTGCCCAGGCCCACCCCAGCTCAGCCCACCTGCATCCCAGCAGTCCTGGGGGCTCCATCTCCTGAGTTAAGTGGGTCTTCAGCACAGACTTAATCCTGGCCTGGCTGTTTGGAACTCACAACATCCTACCTGCTTTATTGTCCCACCTGAAGGATCCCCGCTGGTTTATGAGAAGGGGACACTGAACATGGAGGAAAGCCAGCCCAGATAACAAGTTCTCAGTGTGGGCAGCCCTGTTTTCATCACCACAGCTCTATTTGAATGCTGTCTGCAACACTTTTCCTCCTGGGTGTGAAATGAACTTGAACTTGCCCGTTGCAGTGTCCATGGGTTGTTCCTTTCCCCACACCATGGGAAGATGCTGCCGAGGAAGGGCCCATCTGGCTGCAATTTCACTTTTTAAAGCTTTACATAAACACTGCTGTAAAAAGCAATGACATGCAGATCAGGGAACTAATAGCTTCATGTGGGGCCTCAGCAGTGTCATCAGCCCCTGCAGACACATGTCAGCCCCACAGGACAGAGTGCAGAGCTCCACCTCTGTCAGAGGACAGCTTACAGGAAAAGGGGATTTGGTCCTTTCCGGCTGCTCTGTGTTTGTTAATTTGCTTTTTAAATAGTTATCCAAGAAACACCACAGTGCAGGCTGACCGTAAATTTTGTGTCAGTTAATGAGGTTGTTCCCAAACCTTCTGCTTCATTTGGCTGACCACAGCTCTGGGAATGGCTGAAGCCCCCCAGGGCCCTGTGGCATCTTGCAGGACAGTGGAGGTGACACAGTTTGGGCTCAATGACTGTCTGGCTGCTATTCCCTGTATCTTATTTCCTGCTTTAGAGGGATTTGCTCCTTCCAACCCTGGCGCTGCAGCCTCTGCAGTGAGAGCCCCGTCCCTGCTCCGGCAGCGGGTGTGGGGTGGCAGGAGCTGTGTCCCGGGGGCTCTGCCAGGGGCACAGCGGGCACTGGGCGTTGGTTGGGATCTGTGTCACACACATCACCGGGAGCTCAAAGCGCCAGCCCTTCTGCTGGGACACTGTCAGTGTGACAGGCAAGGCTGTTGTGTGAGAGGCTATAAAATCTGTATTTTCAGCTGCATGGAGCTTTCCAGAAGCAGACCCAGCAGGGCAGGTTTGCACAGGCGGTGGGATATTCCCCTGTGAGGCAGAGTGCTGCTCCCCAGGGCTGTCCCCACGTGCCCTTGCCGTGCTCCTGCTCCCCGGGCGAGCGCTGCAGTGCCCGCTGCAAACTGACTGTCACCGTGTCCCTGTGAGGGACATAATCATTATCATCTGCATTTTACAGATGGAGGAAGCATTGCACAGAAGCAACTTGTCCAATGTCATTTAGGGCAGAGGAGGCAGATCCGAAGCCCAGCCCTGCTCCCGAGCCAGCCCCAGCTCTGCACACAGTGACTCACCCAGCAAACACGTTCCTCCCCCAGGAACTGTACCCCATGCTATGGATGGGGGATTATTTTTGGGTCTTTGCTGCCTAGGCCTTGGGCTCAGAACGTAACCAGGAGCTGGAGAGGTGGTCCCAGGGCTGCCCCAGTGGAGCAGGACATTGCCATTCAGGAGGAGAGCACAGTGTTACAGCTCTTGCCCTGCCTGTACTGTGGAGAGGAGAGAAGAATTTTGTCCTCAGCTTTTCTTCCAGAGACCTTCTCTGGGAATCAGATATTCATAAAAACCCCAGCTTTCCTCACCTCCCTAACTGGACTCCTGGGATCACAGGATGTGCTGGAGGCAAGATATCTAATTAGGGAACTGAGCAGGCTCTGGCTGCGAGTGGCGGTTTCAGCCTCGGTTGTGGCGGCTGCGGGAGCGAAGCTGTCCCTGCAGGGTCCCTGCTGCTTAATGGGGTTTTGGAAGTGGCCACAGAAGGGGAAGCACAGCTGCTGTGTGGCAGAGGGAGCTTTGTGTCCCAGGAGACTTCAGAAAATAAGTTGCTTTTATAGAAAATAAAAAATTAAACTGTGCAGTGCACACCTGCTCCTGCAGTCTGGATACCTCCTCTGGACTGGGCTGGCCTGTGTCTGGGACATGCCTGGGGTCCCCAAGCCTCCTCGGTGCTGTGCCCTGGCCCATGTTTGTCCTCGGGAGCCACAGAGCCCATTTCTGAGCAGTGAGAATGGCTGTTTTCAGGAATTCCAAAGGAATGTTTGGAAGAGCCAGACACAAAGATGCTTTCCTGACAGCTGATGTGACATGGAGCCAGGCAGGGTCAGGAGCTCGCTGTGGGTGTCCCGAGCCAGCAAGCAGTGGTCTGTGTCCCACCCCAGCCAGCCAGCCCCGGGGCCAGCCCGGCACAGCCGCCCCTGGCACTGCCCTGGGGCCTCACTCACGTGGTCGATGAGCTCCTTGATCATGCCATTCCACTGCCCCTTCTCGTCCTGCGCCCCGTACTTCCCGTCCTCCACCAGCCGGATCTCGTAGGAGAAGCCCAGGATGATGGCCAGCTCCTTGAGCAGGTCGATGCAGTAGCCCTCGAAGCGGTCGTTCCCAAACAGGGCCGTGTCGGACTTTCGGAACATGACAAAGGGCTCCTCCTGCACCAGGGGAGGCAGAAAGTCCCCATCAGGGTCAGCTGGAGGCAGGGCCACCCCTGTGGGTCAGCCCGAGCCACCGGGCACCAGCTCTTCAGGCAGGGCTGGCACCGTGACATGTCGAGAATAAATTAACTTTGCACAGCACATCAGCTAATTAGCAACCTTGTTTACCCCACAAAATTTAATTTTGTCTCTCTGAGCAGCCAACTGTTTTCCATTTGGTAGGATTTCAGGGAGAAAAATAACCATTTCATGCTCTGAAAATGAAGTGTTAGAAACAGTAAAAGAGGGGGAGGACAAACTCACCCCTGAGTCCTGCACCCAGGAGCTGCAGTGAGCAGGGGGCTGGTGGGTGAAATTTGGGGTGAGGGAGCTGTGCGTGGCTGGGGCCACCCCAAAACATCCCCCATTCAGCTCGTGTTGCTCTGTGCTGGCACCACCTGATGGACACGGGGCCCTGCTGCTGCCCAGGGAAGCTCTGTGCCTCTGCTGCAGGTACAGCTGCCCTGGCAGGGCTGGGGGTGCAGAACCACGGCAGAGCTGAGCCCCAGCACAGGGGAGGCAGAAGTACTCTGTGACCTGTGGGTCTGTCCCCTCCAGCAGGGGCACATGAGGTCACACAGTGAAGTCCAGAGCCCATTGGTGACTCTCAGGCTTGGGCAGCCACCGAGGACGAGGGACACTGGGGAGCCCGAGGGAAAAACGTGTGGAGGACAGATGGAAATGGGAAAGGATGGTGGGCAGCAGGCAAGGGCTGGAAGGCAAGTGGAGGGTGAAGCATCTACAGCAGCGAGACTCAAATCAAGGGCTCCTGCCCTTGCTGGGGGTGGCCAGCACGGGGAGGGCTCGTGCTTTGTGACCAGCCCCTGTGGGATTGCTCAGGGATGGGGGGCTTGAGGAGGTGGGAGGGGAGGTCTGGAGCCCTGGTTAGAGCTGGGCTTGGTGGGGGTGGGCATCCTGCCCAGGGTGTGCTCCAGGGAGGGGCTCAGGGCCCAGAGTGGGACTGTGCCAGCCTGGAGGCTGCTGGTTCTGGTCACCTGCCAGCCCTGCCCTCTGCCCCGGGACCTGTGTGCCCCTGGAGGGGACAGGGGGCCCGTCTGGCCTCGCAGCAGGGTCGGGGGGGACGTGGGAGCTCCTGAACCCCACTTGCAGAGTTCTAAAGCCCGACTGATCTCCTCCCGCGCGTGGAGCTCAGCCTGGCACGCGCAGCTCGGCTCAGTCCCGCTCTCCCCCGCCGCCTCCTCGGCTCTGCTCTGGAATTAGGGCTTTGTTTGGGAATCAGCTGAATCCATGGATCCTGATATAAATACACCGGCTCCAGAGCAGCCATAAAGCACTATTAATTTTGGGAAGCGCTGTAGGGATTACATACATATTTAACAGCCGAAGCACTGAACATTAGGACGCCACTCGCTTCAGTAATGTATCTCCAGGTCTCAAACATTTCCTAGGGGGTAATTCTGAACTCTGTGAACCACTTATTCACGGACTATTTCACAATTTATTACTGAAAATGGCCAGACATCCAATTCACAAGCTCTCTCGGTTTGCTAATCGATTTCTCAGTGAAGGTGCCCTCAATTTCATAACTTCACAGTTCCCATATTGCTTGGGGAGAGCAGTGCTGGCTGCTGGGGTAATATTTCTCTTCCAACAAGTCACTGCAATATGAGCAAAAGGGGAAAAAATAACCTTTCATGCTTTTCCTTTTAGAGGCTCCTCCTATGGCTTTTCTCCCGTCGTTTACAGTAGTGCAGAAGTACAAAGGGGTGTTGCAAATGCAAATAACATTTAGGGTTGTACTTTATATTTTAGACACCAGTGTACAAAATGCAATTACTGCAGAACTCAGGTCTGAGCACGTTCCCTCCTCCTGCAGGCACAGGGATCACAGGGTGGCTGGGGCTCCAGGGTGGGTACCCCATGGCACGTGCCCAGGCCCACAATTAATGGGAACTGGTATCACCCTGTGCCTTATGTAATTTGTACAAGCTCACAGAGCACGGGATGGAAATGCTGCCTGAAAAAAGCATGTCCAGGGCAGATGGCTGACAGTCCCCTCCTGGCCCCATCCATGTGCATTATGGTGTGGCCCTTGAGGTGCAGGGAGTACCACAGCCCAGGCCCAGACCTTTCCACAGCCATGGAAATGTTTCATTGGAACAAATGCCATGTGGTGGATGGGAAGTTTGTTAGGAGGAGTGACTGATTTGCAAGGAGAGCTGCAGCAGCATCTGCCTTTGGCTCACGTTCTGCTTCCACTCTGCTCACCCCTTGCTGAGGGACACAATACCTCTGGTTTCAGCCCTTCTTCTGCCCTGGACCAGGTGTTCCCTTTCTCTGTTCCCCTCTGGGTACTCTCAGTCCTATTCCTTTCACGATACCAATCCCCACTTTATCAGGTCACATCCTCTTGGGAAGGGAAGGACGTTACAAGGGATCACACTGCTCCGGACTGGGGAATGCATTCCCACTGGCTCTGTTCTGTCTGTACCTTTATGTTCCCTGAAAACATGGAACATAAAAGGGCCAGAAAATTTCCCAAGGCAAGCCTGTAACTCAGCCCCATTTTGGGGCAGGTTGGCCAAGGGCTGATGTGTTTTGTTGCTTCCCAGTGACAAACCACGAGCCATGTGGGACCCGATGCCACCAGTCATAATTCATTAGCTGGCCAATAAAACCTCATTGTGATCCAATGCCTGCTGTCAGATCCAATAGTGAGCGGGAGAACAGAATGCAGCACGACGGGGAGAGCGGGGGAGACCCGGCAGTGAGCTGGATATCCCTGATATCCAGGGACAGGGCACCCCAGAGCAGGGACAGGGCACTCTGGTACAGGAACAGGGCACTCCAGAGCAGGGACAGGGCACTCCAGAGCAGGGACAGGGCACTCTGGTACAGGAACAGGGCACTCCAGAGCAGGGACAGGGCACTCTGGTACAGGAACAGGGCACTCCAGAGCAGGGACAGGGCACTCCAGAGCAGGGACAGGGCACCTCAGTGCAGGGACAGGGCACCTCAGTGCAGGGACAGGGCACTCTGGTACAGGGACAGGGCACTCCAGAGCAGGGACAGGGCACCTCAGTGCAGGGACAGGGCACTCTGGTACAGGGACAGGGCACTCCAGAGCAGGGACAGGGCACCTCAGTGCAGGGACAGGGCACCTCAGTGCAGGGACAGGGCACTCTGGTGCAGGGACAGGGCACTCCAGAGCAGGGACAGGGCACTCTGGTGCAGGGACAGGGCACTCCAGAGCAGGGACAGGGCACTCTGGTGCCCAGCTGAGCCCAGCCCTGTCGGGGCCTCTCCCGCAATCTGTGCTGGGGGCTGCGAGTTTTCAGAGGGGTTTTCAGAGGGGTTTTCAGAGGAGTTCTCAGAGGAGTTCTCAGAGGTATGGGGTGTCCCTGAGGGGGAGGACAAGGACAGGAGGGCAGTCTCCTACCAGCACTGTGGTGACAATCAGAGATCTGTTGCTCAGCGAGTCCGTGACGTTCGGGCCTCGTCCTCTGGAGATTTCCGTGATGTTCAAACCGTCGGAAGGGCTCCAGGCTCCCACCTGAAACAAACCAAACCAAGGAGTGAACCCCCTCCTCACCTTCCTCAGTCCCTTTCTCGCATTCCTCGCTTGCTCCCAGCATCCTACTGGCCTGGAAGAGGGAACTTCCTTCTTTCATCTACAGTAAACAGCAGCAAAGCTGGAATTACCATCTTGTCTCACCCAAGAGAACCAACCCTTCAGCTGCAGGTCACTGCAGTGGCACTGGTTCCACAGTCCCCGCACTGCTGCCAGCTCAGGGGCATGGGCAGAGACCAGAGACTGGAATTCTGGGGCTGAATGAATGAACAATTTGCAAAGGCGCTGCATAGAGCAACAGTCAGACCCCACTAAAGAGTCAGATCTGGGCAAGGGTAAAGCACCACAAATCTGAGGTCATTTTCTTTCTTCTCTGTTACCCCACCGCTTTGCTTTGGTGAGGAGGATTAAAAATGACTCAAATAGCTCCACAGATCCCTGGAAGGAGCCATTCCTGCCCTCTCTGCCATCTGTGGGCATTTCTAACACATCCCTTGTCAGGGCCCTGGGCCACCCTTCAGGGAAATGCCTCAGTCCTCAGCAAATCTGGAGGAAGGGATGGCAGCAGCCCTGCCCAGGCATGGCACAGGCACACCAGCTCCATTTCAGGTGCTCTGTTTCTCCCAAGCTGTCAAATTTAATAAATTATTAGACTTTGAAGAAGTCTATTGATCCAGAAATGCCAGACATGTCTCTATTTACCAGAAGTGATCTGGGCAGCGCTAAGCCTGTTAACCTGATCTCTGCAGGTGCAGGGGAGGCTCTGGGACAAACTTTGAAGGCAGGAGTGGATGAAGGACTGTGACGGGGAGAGAAAACGTCAGGAAAGCTGGAGGGACGTGGGGCTGCTGCCAGCAAACAGAGCAGGGTGGCCACGGAGCCAAACTGACAGCGAGAAAAAACCAAACCCCACCTGGAAATGGGAACAGAACGATCCATCTGTAGGGTCAAACTGCGAGGGGGGACGCGCAGAGAAGCCAAAGGCAGCCAGCTCAAACCACCGGGGAGCCAGCAGCTTCCCATCTTTTATTTATTGCTGTTTTTAAGATTCTTCAGCCTCTTCAGCAGTCCAAGGGGAGAACTTGGTTTTACTGCATCCCCAGAAAGAGACTTTGTAATGAGCAATGCTGCCTGGCAAAAAAAAGTGTCATAAATTCTAGAAGAGTTTCCACGAACTTTGTGAAAGGTTTTAAATATTTCAGGTAAAACTGAAGCAATCCCCCATCTCTGCCTTGGATCACACAACAGCTGCAATGTCAAAAAATTATTATTATTGTGAGTAGGAAAGGAGAAGCAAGTCCAAGAGGCCCCAGATTGCTGCAGTGCAGCTCCAGACACCTCTGCCTTGCTACGTTTTCTTTAAGAAAATTAAATACATGGCACTTAAGACTGAATTAATCAGTTTAAGATATTAAAAAAGGGAAGAAAAAGGAAAAAAGTGCATTAAGAGAACTGTGCGAGTCAGATAGTCAAACTACACGTAATTAGGTTTCGTTAATACTCCTGTAATCCCTGGAACATCCAGGAGCTATGAGAGAATCAGGGGTTCAGTCCTAAAGCTCAGCAAACATAAGCTGTGATACATAATGCACAATCCGGGTGGGATTTGTTTGTGGGCTGGTGTTTTGTTAGTTCAGATTAACTATTGACAGAATCCCTGCTCCAACAGAGATTTGACATCGATACTTTAAAACCCCTCTGGAGCTGACAGGAAGCTTTCAGAGAAATAATAGTGGGAGCTGTGAAATCTCTGAATTATTGGAGACAAAAGTTGACGGGGTGTGCAGGGGCCGCGTCGGGGTTTGGCGGCTTCCAGCGGGTTTGGTGTGACACAGATCTGCAGTAAATCCAGCTGGTGCCAGCTGGGAGGGGAGGGGGTTTGACAGGTGATGCTGCAGCTCTGCTGAACCTTTGGGTTCACGGGGATTCAAGCACTGGCATGTTTTCTATTACCTGACCAACAGAGCTCTGCAGAGCGTTGGTGCTGCTGGACTTGGAAAAGGCCTGTTTTATTTTTGGTTTAGACTCTAGGAACAAGGCTGCAAAGATCAGTTCTTGTGAGATGGTGGCATCTTCCCCCCCTCCTTCCTTGGGGGTCACTGGGTTGATTTGAAATGTTTTCTTTATTCTGTACTTGACACCAAAAGCTCCCCACCCGCAGAGGGCTGTGGTGACCTTGTGCTGTGTTACTGAGGCACAGGAGCTGCTGCTGTGGGGGGAAGTGTGGCAGCAACTCCTGCCAAAGCCAAGGAGAACAAACCGGGGGGAAGGGAGATGGGGCACAGGCTGGAGGGTCCCCGGGAGCCTCGTGGTGCAGGATCCGTCCCCTCCAAATGGAGGGTTGATCCATGGCTGCCTCCAGCCCCGGGGCTGCCTCCCTGTGCCGAGTGATTAATTCCCTGGAAAAGTCACCTGTGCTCGTGGTCCATGTGCTGCAGAGTTAATTGAAACCCTCCCTGCTCCCGGCCGGGTGTCCCGTGGACACAGAACCTGTCACTGCCCAGAGGTGACAAGCCCAGCACTGTTCTGGCTGCCAGAGGCACTTTGTACCTGTTGGAAAGCAGACTCTGCTCTAGAAGGGGCCTTGCTGCCCTGCCAACTTCCTCCTGTACAGGTGCGAGACACCTGTGGCAGAACGGGGACACAGAGTCATCACAGAGGGGTCAGAGCAGAGAATTCCTTGGGAATCACAGTCCCGGCTGCTCCGGCCACTCACTGCTCTCTGTCTTCAACCAACTGATCTCACCTTGGAACCCCCATTCTAAGGGCTTTAAGGCTTGCATGTTGCCTTTTTCTTTTCTTTTTTTTTAAAGTATTTGAAGAAAAGGAAATTAAATCCTCAGGAACACCCGGGATCAGAGTTGTGCATCAGCCTCGTATTTCTGTGCCCAGAGGAGATTTGCACTAATTTGGAGGATCCAAGGCTGCAGCCTTTTTGCCCTTGGCCCTCATGACCCCCCCAGCCAGCCAGGCAAAACCAAACTTTGCTGTTTTCCTTATTGTCCCTTAGGCAATAAAATAAAATACCCACTGCATCCTCCTGCGAAATCCAGGCTGGAATCAGCCGGTGCCATTCCCAAGCCTTGGGCAGGTTCACGGTGGGAATTCACACCAGGTGATGCTCCCCAGAGCTGTGTCCTCCTTGGCAAGAGCCAAGGGTTTGTGAGCCAGGCCAGCAAGAGGGAGTGGGACAGGAGATATTCCTGCCTGGCCTGGGCAGGGAAGGGTTACTGGATGCTCAGAAAGTTTCTTCTGCCTCTGTTATCCCAGGAAAGTGCTACAAGCACTTCTGCAATCTGTAATCCCACGCTCTGGCTTCAGGGCGAGTGAGTCATGGTTGAGGCGTGGAAAAGGATCTGAGAAATCCCACAAAGTGAATATCCTTTTATATAAACCCCAGAAACCTGGAATCAGTACAACGCCAACCATTTCTCTGTTGCTTGAGCACCAGGGTTTAGCCTCAGCCACATGCAGATAAGACAAGCCCTGCCTACCTTTTCGAGTCCATCTTCTTTGAGGCTGATGATATCCAAATCAAAATCTGTCCGTAAACCACTGGTTTTATTGAAGACGATTCGTCCCGTTAATCCTTCCCACTGGGCCTGTGCAAGGGAGAAAAAGTAGCAGGGCTGTTACTTGGTATCATAAATAATCTTTTGCCCTCCACTGTATGTTCTTTTAATTAGTCCTTATGCTGGATCTTTCTCCCTAAAGAGCCTGATTAATTAATAATCCCCCCGTCACTGCTCAGGCTGCAGACGGAGCTGGAGATTTTCCTAACTCTCTTGCAGTCCTTGCTACAATTTCTGTTCGCACCTTTTGTGTTCACCAGCTGTTGCAGGATGTGATGACTCAGTAGAAAACACTGGTGTTTATCAGGGCATCCTTGTGGCTCTGTTTATCCTTGTGGTGCTGATAAAGGCTGGCTGCAGGAGCCGGCTCTGGGGCAGCTCCCCTCGAGTTCAGAAACAACCCCTTTGTGCACGAACCCACTGCTGCTTCCAGGGGGTGTGGAAGCTGAAATGGCCTGAACGCTTCCCTCCGTCCTTCCAGGTGGACAGTGGAGCAGAAGAGGCCAAGAACTTGTCCGTGCAAGCAGGCTCTGTGGTTTGGAATCGGGCACAGGAGTCTGGGGGTGGGTGCTGCCCGAGTCCCTGGTTCACTCTTTGGCAGCACAAGGACGAGGCAGGTGCCCAGTGGGGCTGGAGATACCCCGTTCCTGGAGATTTTCAATGCTTGGCTGGCCAAGGTCCTGCACAGCCTGGTCTGGCTGGGGAGCTCGTCCTGCTCGGAGCAGGACCTGGGGGTAAAGATGCCTAAATTTGATTTAACCAGAATTATTCTGGGATTCTGTTTCTCTCGCACTGTAGACTTTGCAGCGCCCCCAGAATTAATCTCTCTGATTTAGGGGGTGAGAGAGCCCCAGTACCAGCTGCTCCCAGTACCAGGAGGTGTGCAGTGCCTGTGCTGCCCCGGTCAGTGCTGGCTGTGCTGGAGCACCATCCCGAGGGGATGCTCCCGTGGGAATGCCAGGCTGCTGCCTCGGTTTGCTGCTCTGCAGTCACATCCCCAGCTGAGCCTCGGGCTGTCCCCCCTGCACAGCCCCGTGTGCTCCCCTCGCTGGGAAACGTGTTTCCTTTATGGGTGGGGGAGCTTGAAATGTCCCGGTGTGATGGAAGTGGCACAGTGCATTCTCGGGGGAGTGACTGGCGTGTCTCCCAGCAGATCCGCTGCTCTGGCTCTCCCTCATCAATTCCTGAGGAGCAGTGACAGCCTGCTCCCAGCCTCGCCCCCCGGGAGTCCTGGGAGGGCTCGTGTTTGCTCACTTGGGCGTGCAGGTGGTTTGCCTGTGGAGCCCCCCGGGAGCCAGGGAAAACACGGAATGTTTGCTGTGCCCGACTGGAGCAAACACAGCTGCGTGTGGAGCCCGGTAGCTCTGCGGGGCTGCACAGCCCGGCTGAGGACCCGGCCTGGGGCTGCAGGACCAGCCTGGGGCTGCTCTGGCCCCAGGAGTTTGGAGGGAGCAGTGCCGGTGTGTTTGGTTGCAGCAGGGAGGAGGCTGATCCCTGCAACGGGCTGACACGGTGCCAGAGAGGAAAACAACAGGCAGGCACTGGAGTGTGAGGCGCGGGGTGACTTGCAAAAGGAGCCAACCAAACAAATTATTTACACTCTGTTTTGGCAGCCAGCTGCAGCCAGCTCTGCAGAGGGAACAAAGCATGGAAAAGGAGAGAGAGGCAGGGAGAGGAGAGATTCCATCCTCAGTGCCTGTTAAGGGAAAAGTTCATTCTCTCTCTGCAGTGGGAACTGTTCTCCTGTTCTCCTCCCTTGGCTCTGTGTGCTCCATGTACAGCTCTGGCAGTGCTGAGGTGGGCACAGTCTCATGGCACCGATGGCTCTGCTGGGCTCAGCAGGTGACACAGCAGCCAGACCATAGTAACGACTGACAGTGTCCTCTGCTCTTCTCTTTGAAAACTTCAGAGGGTTTTATACCCAGCCTATAAATGTGGCCCAGTCACACACCCGACACAGCAGCCAATCCTTTGGCTCACCATGGGAAGAGCCACAGGCGCCGAAGTTTAAAAAGCACTTGGGGTAAATAAGGGGTTTATCACAAAGAGGGCTCTCGCAGGGTCTCCCTCCAGCTCTGCCTTTGTTTTTCCTTAGGTGAGGGCTTGTTTTTGCAGACTGAGTGTGCACCCCAGGGCCAGTCTCAGTGACACATGGGAGGTTTCAGCTCCTAGGGGATGTTTTGGTGTGGCTGCATGGGTGTTATTTTGAAGGCAGAGGTTTTTTCTTTCCGGGTGCCCTCGGCAGCCTGGTGTGTGTCTGTGCTTCCACCCAGCTGTACCTGCCCGGGCAGGGGATGTTTCCTAACCCCGGACCCGCCGAGCCTCCTCCCCCCGTCCCCGTGCTGGCACCCCCAGCCAGGCCCCTCCTGCAGTGGGAACTGCTGTGGTCACCAGCCACGCTTTTACCTCCTTGATGAAGTTCATGAAGCGGCCGCCGAACCTCCAGGCCTTGTGGCGGTGGCACTGCAGGGAGTTCACCGTCATCTGCGGGGCGCGCTGGTAGCACACGGACACCACGTGCACGGCGTCGTACAGCAGGGCAGCGTCTGTCTAAAGGGAGGGCAGCAGTAGGGTGGCCATAGTGGCCCCCGAGCCAGGGGGCACTCGGGGGGGCCGTGAGGTGTCGTAGGAGAAGGTGGAACCCTCCCTGAGTTACCTCCTGCCAACACCCACAGACCCCAGGGTTCCTCTGTCCGTGTCCCACCGACTATCCCTTGGCTCTTTAGACCAAACACTTGTAGTTCTGTCTAAAATCAGTGATTTTTAGAAGTGTCATTTGTCTGTGAGCAGCTATTCTGGTTGTTTCTTGCACATTTCCTGCTGTGGTGTCAAACAGGGAGGCAGTGATTTCTAAATGTAGAAGATAGTAACAGAGTTTTCCTATTGAGTCTGTTTTGTCTGAGTGCAAAAAAACCCTGTATGAGAACATATTTTCCACACTATTTTATACATGGGAAAATAAGAAACAGGGATGTTAAATGTTTATGGGCACAGAATTTTTCAAAAACGACCCAAACTGTCACCAAAATCAGGACCTTGTGAATTTGTAACATATTTCAGCATTTCAGTGATTTCAACTAGGGGGAACTTTTTTTTTCTTCCATGTAATATGATGGTTTTAGATTCAATTTGAGATGCCCTATCTCACCTCCAAACACTGATCAAGAGAATTGGATTTATTTTTCACTCCAATGTGGTAAGACCTCCTAGTGAAAATGCATTATTTGCTGGCTTCACAGAGCCACAAAACAGATGTGAGTGTAGCAGCATCATAATAAACCACAATAAACCAAAATAAAATAGCAAATAACTGGGCAAACATCTAACAGGACGTAGCCATGGAGAATATCCTCCAGTGTTGGCAGCCATCCCCGTGACCTTCCCTTCCCTCAGCACCCGAGCATGAAGAGCAGGAGCCTGACCTGCCTCCGTGGGGGGTGAGGGCCACAGCAGGGACAGGCTTTGTGAATTTGGGGCTGGGGAAGAGCGGGGCAAGGACATGTCCAGGCAATTTCATGGGGAATTACAGACTGCAGTGCCCAGCTGGGCCCTCGCCCTCGCTGGATGGACACCTGGCAAACACAAATCCAAGGCAGCTCCCTCTGGGGGAGCACACGGGGGCTGGGGAAGGAGGCGGCACTGGGGGCTCAGCTGGGGCAGGGGAGCCGGGGGGCTGTGGAGGCTCCTCCAACAACAAACAGAACAGGAGGGATCCGAGCAGCCATTTCAAGGTGAAAGTCTGGGAGGCTGTGCCGCTGGCGGGGCTGGTGCTGGCAGAGCTGAAGGGAGGAAGGAGGGAGCAGTCAGCAGTTGCGGGGTCGGGGACGGCCTCGCAGGGAAGACAGATGGGCGAGCAGGTGCTGTACCTTCCGAGCAGTAACTCAGCGGAGCAGAGCTGCCATCAGCCCCTAAAAGGAGTCATCAAACTGCAGCACAGCCCATCTCCGGGCAGTGCTTTGGCGCTTTGTCCCTGCACCAACCTGAGCACTGCCCGGCTCAGCCCAGCCGGTGCTCCCAGCGCAGAGCAGTGCTGCTGCTCCCGGGGCTGAGGGGGGATGGCAGCCCCTGGGACAGGCCTGGCTGTCTCTGCTGGGGGCAGATCTGTTGGCAGCTGGGGCTGAGCAGGAGCGTTAACACAGCGGTGGGGTTCGGGCTCCACTGCCAGACTCGCTGCTTGGAGGGGCAGTTATTGCAGAAGGCAAGAAACTACCTCGGGGCAGATACCGGGGCTGAGTTCTTACTGGTGCAAGAGCCAATAAAAGTAACATTTAGGTCTTAACGACTGTTCCTGCCTTTCCTACCCCCAGCCCCCCGTGCCCTGTTCGAACCTCCCGTACCATCATCACTCCATCGAGCAGCCCCAGCTCCGCCTTGGGCGCCGACTGCAGCCGCTCCATGGACCACTTCTCGATGATGGAGGACACGTGGGGGTTCTCCACGTTGAGGATCCGGAAGCCGGTCAGGTTCACCCCAGAGTAGCGATATGGTTCTAGGTCTAATGCATAAAGATCCTTAAAAGAGAGAAACCGGTTTAAACATTTTGTTTAGCTTTGTTTTGTTTGAGTTTTTTGCGTCGGTTCGTGTCTGTGTTTGGAGCGAGACAGCAGAGCCCTCAGAAGGTGGGAGGGAGGACACAGCCCTCAGGAATTCAGAGGATTGTGCCGTCTGTTGCCATCACTCTCTGCTTGCAGAGGCTTGGAGGTGTTGGTGGAATTTGGGTGCCGTATGTGCAGGTTCCCACACACACAGCGTAAGGGAACTCCTACCAAAGAGCCAAGAACTCGCTCTCTGCTTGAAAGAGACAAATAAATTGTGGGGAGAAAACCAGAATCACTGCCTGTGACCCTGAAAAAAGAGATTTGCGACCCAGGGAGGGAGGATAAGGCAGAACTCCTGTATCTGAAGCTCCCGGGGGCCTTTCCACGAAGGATTTGCTGGGAGTGCTGAAGCCCACGGGGTGCTGTGGATGACAGAGTCACTCTGAATGCAGAACACCAATTTGCAGACTATCAAAGAGGAACTAGGACGCATTTCTTGACATTCCGACCAGCCTACACAGTCTGCAGATGAATGAGGGTGCCCTTTATAGGATGGAAAGAGCCCAGAGCCAGGCAGTGCTCGGCTCTGCTGGCTGCTGGCCCGTGAGCATCGCTTGGCAGGCACTGGGGGGGCACTGGGAGGGCACTGGGGGCACTGCTCTGGTGCAGCTCTGGGCTCTCCACGTGTCTGAATATCAGCTTCAGTTCAGGGATTAACTGCAGTGCTCAGGAGCTAGTCTGAGTAGGCTGGGGTTGGACAGCACGGCAGGAGCATGTCCAGCTGCTCTGCTCCCCAAATCCAGGCAGCTCCCGAGGGGCTGAGCCAGGCAGTGAGTGGAGACAGCAGGCAGGAGATGTGTAATGGCTTTGTTAATGGGAACATATTTAATGGGACATATTTAATCAGGGCTTGCCCTGAACAACTTCTGCAGGCATTTAATAGTAGTAAAAAGGGGGGAGGTGAGAGGGCAACAGCACTGTCCTCTGTGATGGGGTGTGGGGTGAGTATGGGAGAGACATTCACTGCTCTCACAAGGGCCTGGAAAAAGGTGAAATACAGCACGAGGGGCTGTGGCTGTGGCTGTGCTGTCTGTTGGGGCTGTGCTCTGCGATGGGGCTGTGCTCTGGGATGGGCTGTGCTCTGGGATGGGCTGTGCTCTGG